TTGTGCATGAGTCTACAATGAAACAATGACTATTCTGTTCGAGTGTGTTCTATGTGACTGTCATTTAAGCTGCTGACTCACACTCACGGCTTTGCATGGATTCATGGGAATAGGGAAACATGGGAGACTATTCACACTCTTCTTTCATTCTGAGCATTATAAGTAAGCAGCAATTTAAAGTTACAGAGATTAAAGCCTTTGTAAAAAGGTTTTCCTTATAATATATGAAACTCATCAAAACTTGATTATGGCGTCCTTAACGTTTTAACTGAATGTACCAAATATCTCCTGAGTCACTAGGTGACGGAGGAGTCCTGTCAGCAAACGTCCTGTCAAACCTCAAGAGCCAGCGAAGCAAAACTGCTCATTTCAAGGAGGATCTCCAGGGTGCCACGACAGGATGAAGACATTCACCTTAAATATGCATTAGCTCAGGGCTCCTCACAAAATCACACACACTCAAAAATAAAATTAAGTAAAAAAATGTTTTAAACAAAATACTATAACAGTTTGTCACTTCAAGCATGTAGGTTCACTTATGTGGTTTTGTCATAGATTAGTTTTGGCTTTTGGAACTGTACCTTCAGTTATAAAGTGGAGGAGTTTCCTTTTGCAGGTTCTTAACCAACATCAGCTTTAATAAGAGTGCAATTAATACACTTAATCCATTGAGAAGTAATGACTCAAGCATACTGAGAAAAAACTGGTTACTGCAGGTTTTCATTGCAACTTGTCGAACAAGTCGTAAAATAAACGTTTAAATACTTCAATCACATAATTCCTCTACAGAGGACATCATTTATACTGAAAGCAAAGTGTTTGCCACCTTAAGTGTTATACTGTAGATGATGACACTGAATCTTAAACAAGTTTTACAGGCCTGCCTCCAGATCATCTTCTGTTTTGAGAAATGACACTCTACTTCTCCAACACTCTTTTTAATCATCTAACCCAAATGTAGTTTAAAAACGTGTTCAGCTTCGGCAGCAGCATCGCCTTGCTCCCACACGCTCATGATACCCTCATTTGCCACTCTGATTAAAAGGTACAACCAACCCCAAAACCTCAAACCCCAAACCTCTGTGAGCTGACCACATCAGATGTTTGCCCCAGATGCTTGGCCAACTTCCGTGCCGCAGAGCTGGACTCTTTGGGACCTAGTTTAATGTGTGCTTAAGAGACCGTGGGACCAGGCGAATGCTGTGCTCTCTTCCTCCAAATATCTGCCATCATTTATTCATTCACACTCCCAGGTTGGCCGCTGCTGCCATCATCTGAGGACCCCGGCGTCTGAAGTTCTCTGCGCCTCTGTCGCTCAAACGCACACACGCATATGTACACACGCACATGCACTTTGCTAGCAGTCCCAGAGGTCTTTTAATTTTTTGAGAAGCTATTTTTAGCGAGAAAAATAATCGAGGTGGAAAGTTCCATCTGTCCAACACTCTTGTTCCAGCTGCTCCTTTTTAGTAGCAGGCGGAAAGAGGAGGGGGAAAAAAACGCTACTTATCAGATAAAACTGATCCAGACGGGATTTTCTATCATATGCAATCTGCATTAGCAGGATTTTGAGAGGCATGTTCTTAGTTGGATGCCAGGTTTTTTAACTGCTAGATCACCTGAGGTTAAACAACTGAGAGTACTTTAAAATGGCATGCTGAGCTCTCTCCACTTCTCTCCACACGTTTTATCTTTTCTAAGCTTGTATCACTCTGTTCTTTCCATCCCTCATTATCATTTTGACTACCTGCAACTGTTAGAGAGAATAATTGACTGGGAAAAAAAACAAAGTGGCTTTGAAGTGGCAATAGAAACACACCAGTAAACATGGTTTCGCTGATTGTAGATTTATGTTAGGACCTGCTTTACATTTACAGGTATTAAAGTGGCCACATTTAGCTTTTCCCTCCACAGCTGCGTGTATTTTGGCCTGAAAACCATGACGACTGCAACTCTGAAATCAGTGCAACTGATTCATATTGAGTGACACATTGATTGAAATCAAATCCACAAATTGAGCAAAGGACACCATTTAGACCTGCTCTATAATTTCATACTGTAGGCAGACCCTTAAAGGTTAACAAGCTCACAGAGAAAGTGGAGAAGGGAGCTGTTCTAAGTTCAGCTTTGATGCAGACATGAATGCCCTGAATGTCAATGAGCTAAAGAAACACTCAATGTTGCCTTTTTTTATTTGCTCCTTGTCCTCACTGGACTCTTTTTTTCAAACAAACAGGACAGTGATATGGAAGCCTGGAAGCTTATCTAAACATTTCACCATCACAAGATATACATATATATGCACATTTGAAATGTTCTCTATAGGATCTGTTATGCAGAAAACCAAAGCAAACAATAGTTGATAAAAAGTTCAGAGCCACCACCGCCGCTTGAATTTAATTTGCTGAATTGATTGGACCTCCGGATCGCTCGCTGTAACACCCTTGAGGGTTGTTCTGGGTAAATCGTTAAATCCGGGCATCATGGACAGAGCCGCTCTGTGTTGGTATCACCATGGGGGTTCGTTCTGACAACAGCTGAACCAATCTATTTGTTGCATACTGTAGAGCCTCTACTGTTTATTCTTCCAACTTTTACAAACTTTCTTCAAATTCTTCAAGCACTACAGATCCGAACTGCCAGACTGTTCTTCACTGTGCAGCTGTATTTCTAATCGAGAGGAACGGATGCAATATTTATGTGTGACTGGGGAGGGTTGGTGGCTAAAGAAGGACAAGACATGTCTAACTAATGCTGAAAGTACAAACATGGCCGTGGATGAAGCCTGTCCGAGTCACTTGTGAATTTTACTTCATGTTGTCATAGTTTCTTATAGTTTTCTGCTTCTTCAAACTTTCCTCTTTTCACTATGTTTACTTGCTTGGTGTGCCTCCACAGCTACACATGCTTTCAAGCTATTAAAAGTTGTTGTCATAAAGCTATCGTATTTATTTTTATCTTAAGTTGAACACGTAACATCAAATAAACGATTCTGGCCTCATTGTGTAATACCCGCAACAATTTGGTGTCCCCTAACATAATGAACTGATCAGATCAATGGAGTGACAATGTCTGACATGCAAAAAGTGGAGGTCAGTACACAAAGCCAAAACAAGCAACCACAATCAATACTGACTTTGCTGCATCAGAGTGTATTTATAGAAACACAAGCAGCTCCCCACCAAGACGCAAGAGGAGGGAAGAAAAACTGTCCAGCAAATACAGCTTCTTTCTGAACAAGCCGCCCTGTTAATAGAGCTGGGCAGTTTATTATTTCTATAAACTCATCTGTAGACTTGAACCTTCACCTATTGTTATTTCTAAAGTTGTTTTTTTATTTGATGGACATGTAATAAAGAAAGTAAAGAGTGGTCACACACCACAATTGTTTATTGTGAACCTTTTTTTCAGACAATCGGTCAGAATGATTCGAATACATTTTGTGTGTGATTGTGTGAGTGTGTGTTTGTGTGTGTGTGTTTGTGTGTGTGTGTGTGTGTGTATATATGTTCCCTTAAGTAAAGCTGACAAGACGCCATGCATTCACTCACTTTGGAGGTCTACACCCAAACAAGTGAGCAGCGGAGTGAAACACATGGACAATCAAGACTAAATTCAATCTCACACAATTGTTCTGTCCAAATTGACATGTCAGGCCAGAGTGTGTGTGTGTGTGTGTGTGTGTGTGTGTGTGTCTGTGTCTGTGTCTGTGTGTGTGTGTGTGTGTGTGTGTGTGTCTGTGTGTGTGTGTGTGTGTGTGTGTGTGCGTGCGTGCGTGCGTGTGTGTGTGTGTGTGTGTGTGTGTGTGTGTGTGTGTGTGTGTGTGTGTGTGTGTGTGTGTGTGTGTGTCTGTGTGTGTGGTTCAGTGAGAATGTTTTGTGTTTCCTGGCATGAGGCTTTAAGGGAACCTGGTTGGCATTGTCTAGCATTGTTTTGCTATTTGTTCTCATAAATGTGCATATGTGCACACTATGTGAAAGAAAGTTTAATGAACTCATTCATTTCAAATATGAATAATGCATCCTTATTCATTAAACTACAGCATATGTTCATGAATAATGATGCTCATTTATTGTACCATTAGAATTTCTTTAATGGGTTCTCTAGTTAATCTAAAATATTCCCAAATGCCTTTCATAAACTATAGAAACCTTCTGGTATTTATAAGGGCTTATACCAAATGTTGCTTTATATTACTTATATTTTACATTGTTTTATACTAGCCTACTGTCAACACAAACTTGTGAAAAACTAGCATTATTAAAACGTAAGATAAGCTTACGAAATTACAGTAAAACAAACTTGCTATTAGGTGCCCCACACACACATTTACATACAATTCCCCAAAGAAGAATTATGGCTATATGGATGATATTCTGTTTCAAGATATTATTCCCCTGAGCTGCCTGGTATATGCTTCTCGTTAATCAGTCTGCCCCGTTTCTATTTCAAAACACGGACACTCTCACCATATGTCACGTTTTAATATTCGCTGGTCGTTGAGTGTTTTAAAACCTTGTAATGTTAGACCTCGTGTTGTGTACGACGCGCAAAAGCGATATCAGGCACAGCAGAGAGCATTAAGGATAAGACGGGCACAGTCAAAAGTGCTTTTGGGAGAGATGACATCGCAACCATCAGGGAAAAGTCATCCTAAATCGGTGCTTTAGTTTTTTGTGGAAATGCCGGGGATTTGTCAGACTGATCCAAACATACAGTATTAAGGAAGAGGGGGATCAAATGGATGTGGCACGCGCTATTGGATAGGAGTTGAGCCTGTGGCACAATTTAATTCCAAATACATCTGTTTTTGCAGCACTCATCCACATGTATCGTAATACTGATTTGTTCACGTGATAGAAAATAGTTAAGCCTTTTGGAAAATGTCATATAAGTATAACCTATTATTATTATTATTATTATTATAATAGTGTGTGTGTCACGACTTGTGCTTGTAGTTGAGCAGAGGTAAACAAGTTTTCAAGTGTCACACAACTTACCCTCCATGCAGAAAATGATCATCCAGGCTATCCATAGGTCCGAGTTATGAAACTTCACCATGGTTCGTAACTGTTCAGTGACTGGTCCTCAGTTTAAGCCCAGTGCCTTCTTCTTTATGAAATCTCAGTTCTGCTCACAGTTTCCTTGCAGATAAGTAACTGTCCCTGCTGATGGCACGAGGCATGAAAGCTGTCCGGGGGTATTACGCTGCGCACACCAGCGACATTTCCACAAAACAACGTCAAAAAGTATTCAAAAAAACAACACAGTGAGCATTTCTATCCAACGGGCACTTGTCTCTCCTCCGGCTCTTTTCAACTCCGCCTTTCCTCTCGTTCTTTGGTAGCTGCTGTTCACTCCAAGACTGTTTTATTTCCTCTCCAGTCAGTTTACGCACGCTAGCGAACACTCAATGTCCACCTGCTGGTGAACAAAAATATGCCCACTGTCGCTGAAAGTTACTTACAAACAGATCACAAACTGGCACTTTTCCCGTCCGCTTGGTGAGTCTCTCCAACGCGTCTTGTTGCGCTCCATGGTTTCTCGTCTGCTCAACTGCGGCTGATCCGACCTGGGAGCAAACACACAGCATTGGTAACAAGAAGACTTCCTGTTTATATTTTCCAAAGTAAAACATCCTTGGGTGTTTGCCAAAGGACACCGTGTCAGACCATCGGTCAGGGTTGAACCACTTCACTTCTTTAAACCTGTGTGCCCGACACATGTTCAAAAAATAGTTACTCAACAATAAAAGTAAAGGACAATTAAAATAATTGTGTTTGAAAAAATGTTTTGGGAAGTAACAAAAGTCGTATTACAATTACTTTTCTGAACAAACCATATCGTTTATAATGTCAACTCCACTCTTAAGTAACACAACACCACTTGTCTCTACTCTATAATAGACTGTAAGACCACATCAATAGGCCAGTACTAAATGGTCTTGCGAGAAAAAGCACCTGAAATCAGTGTGCATTTACTTTGTAGGTCAAATCCACCTGACTTCCTGTTTCAGTGTGAGTGTGTCTGTGCGGCTTGGTGGTGATCAGCAGAGGATGATTAAGATGAGCTCGAGCCGGGCTGTTGCTGGGAGACCGCTGACGCCAGACGAGAGAGAGAGACGTTCATGCCCCCCTGCGGTGCAATCACAGAACAACAGAACAGAATACAATAGAATAGAACAAAATGAGATATCATATAATATATTTAAATAGAACAGAATAAGATATTGCAGAATACAGTTAGATAGAATACAATAGAACAGTAAAATAGACATAGAAAAAGATAGAATATAATTGGATCAAATATAGTTGGTATTCTTTATAGTGACACTGTGCATGATTTCCTGGATAAGCATTTTTCTTTTACAATTTTTTCAGTAAATTATGTAAAGTAAATGAATACATTACATTGTACAATAAAGAATCAATAATATAACATAATACAATGCAAGGCTATTTTTATTTTTTTGTATCTTAGCTAGAATTATTTAACCTCTTTGATTGATGTTGTCATAACAGGCCCTTTCTTCTGAGTCATTCCTATTATTTGAAAAGTTGATATGTAAATATCAGTCTAATGTCACTGCGAGGACAGTTTCATTCAGGTGAGTGTTTCACACATCATAAGCAAGAACCAGCATGCACAACACAGACTACAGATATACTGTGTAGAATATGCCGTGTCTTTGTGTTTTAACTCCTTTTTTATCCTAATTGATCAAAGCTTGTCATTTGCAGCAAAACTGAAACTGTGAGAAGTGGCTGCAGGCTAAGTAACTACTCAGCGATTCAAAGGAGCCGCTGAGAAGACTGCATCAAACAACCTGTGTTCGCTCTGATCCACTGATCACACTCAGCTCACCTCAGCACTAAATCACTGCTTATATCTCTTACTTCACAGGGTGCCTGGTCATGGCACAGTGTGTAAGGTAAAAAAGATTTCAAAGATTTCAAAAGAGAAACCTTCTGACTGAAGTATTTTTTGAATGTTCTATCCTAAATTAGATTTTTAGTTTGAGAAAAGGTATACTCAAAGGGAAAAACATGATGGGTGCAATCCACTATACATACATTCCTTTATTCCTTATTCTACCCTGTAGCTGTTGGAATAAACTCACAGACATGAAGCTGTTGCTGTAGACAAACAGGTACCAGAGTTAAGAATGCCCAAGGTCCTTATGTAAGATGACAACAAATTACAAAAACACCTGAAAAACATCTTACATCTTCAAATTGCTTCCTATAGTTTAACCAACATATAGTTACTGTAACATTAAGAAAAAGAAAGGTCGCAAATACTTACACTTGAGAAGCTGAAACTAGAACATATTTAATTTCTGCTAAATAAATTCCATAAATATTTTTCAAATATCAAAGTAGTAAGACACATGTTCTGTCATTGACTAATCATTTCAGCTTTAGTTCACTTTGAGACAAGACACTGTACTTAATCATGTGTTAAAGCACTTTACGAGATATAATAATAGCGGATGATTGCACCAGTCTGACGTCCTTACCTTTCTCTAATGTTAACTGAGGTTTGTCATTCCATTTACCAGAAGCTATGGACAAAGTCATGTCATAACAGTGATAAAATATGTAAAAGCATATGGCATTCTAAAGACACACACTTTTGGCAAATGAAACGTCAAACACGAGAGAAAACGTTGTAAATCACTCACCCGCTTCAATATTCCCTAAAATATTATAAAACGTGGACATGATTGATAGAAAGATACTTGATGTATTACTGATTCTTTTCTGAAACCGCTTACCATTTCTTTTTTTCCTGCAACCCCATAAAAGATTTAAAAGACCTGAAGCAGATCCTTTAATGTAAATATTGTAACTCTCTTGTCCTGACCGTCATGTCTACAGCACAACAACAGACTTTGAATATTGATGCAAGGTAAACAGGTAATCCTTTATTTAGTGATGTACAATGTATTTTTTTTTAGTAGTTCTATCCATCGTTCAGATCTCTCACTTTTCAGAAATATTGTGTATTGTTGCAATACAGTACAATCTGAGTCGACACAGTGTGCCCTACAGTTGTAGAATATATGTGCTGAACTTGAGTACAGTAAAATATTTCCTTTTTAAAATGCTGTGTACTTCTTGTGTTATAATTCTATGTAAAATAGTGTTACTTTTTACCACTTCATTCATTTTAAACTGTTGCTTTTCAGGTTATTATTTTACATATAAACTTTAATCTCATGAAATGTGATTTTTTTTTTAGATTATTCGTAGTAAAAGACTAATTAAGGCCTTAATATAAAAAGGCTGCCAATAATGAATGCATCAGTACTACAGGATGATCCATACACTTTTCCACATTAAATTGTTTATTATGCTTTTGTCTTAGGATAATCTATTTCCGTTTTGTAATTTTAACTTATTTTAACAATTACAATGACAAACACCAACATATTCTATATTTGCATTCCTCTACGTGTGGACGTCAAACTGTGAGCGACCCTAAACATAGAGAACACTGCCATCTGGTGGTAAAGAAACACACTTTACTTGACAGGAGAACCTAATGGAAAAAAAGACTCCTGCAAGCTTTTTGTTGTCAGAACATTTACTTCAGATTTGTTTACACAAGACCAGCATGTTTATGTGAAACCAAAGAAAGCACAGAAGGAAAAGTTGGTACTACTGCACATTCATAACGAACTGTCCGGTCCCAGGATGCATCACTCCTGAAATGAGAAAAAAGGACAATGCTGTTACTGCAGACAGGATACATGATTTATTCAATAACATCTAAAGTGCCACAGCACCTTTTGCATTTGTAATGTATGATTCTTTGTGGCAGCAGAATGAGCTGTAACAAGCACCAAAATGACCTTGATTTTTGGATCAGTAATGTTATGAAAGTGTGACAGCAGTCTATTCACTTTGATTGATGAGATCAAAAACACCAACTCTTTTGTGACTTGACTTTCTGACTGGTATTCCTTCTCTCTTGGTTTGTTCCTCTAGTCATTTGTATTAAAGACACCAAATGCACACAAATAGGACCATGATCTGATACTCTCAATGAATTTGAGGGAATTCATCCCAGAAAAATATTGATACTAGAAGTGGATCTGAGTTTGGCTGCAGGTTAATGGGCCAATATGTGCCAGTTGATAAACAAGGGTGTTCACTTGTTAACAGAGCTAAAAACAGCATTCACACAATGGAGGGTGTGGTGTGTCACATATCATCACAACCTGCTCTGCCAGTAAGACCTGTTGTGGAGGTTTCATACCAACAAGCCATTTATTCAGGTGCCAAGCCTTTACAATAATAGGTGAGATGATGTTACCAGTAGAGCTGCATTTTAATACATGTTCCTATTCAAAGAAAGTCTTGAGCACTTCAAACGTGTAACATGGAAACACAAACTGAGCACTGAGGGGAAATTAAAAGTTGCCCTATGGATGTCAACAACATTAAACACTGCTATATTTTTACTTGATTTAAGTTAGCAAGATATACATTATGTAAGATATATCTCTAAAATGTAGGTGCAGTATTGGGCTTACCTCATCACTGCTGGAGGATGATGAAGATGCGGAAGAAGATGAGGATGAGTTGCCTGATTCCTCCCCCTCCTTGTGTTCCTTTTTCTTCTTGTCCTTCTTCTTGCCGTCTTTGCCGTCTCCATGCTTTGACCCATCTTTTTTGTGAGATGAGTCCTTTTTGTGAGACGAGTCCTTTTTGTCACATGAACCCTTTTTGTCCTTGGAGTCCTTTTTGTGAGACGAGTCCTTTTTGTCACTTGAACCCTTTTTGTCCTTGGAGTCATCCTAAAATAAATTGCATAATTTGACTTTGAATAAATCATGATGGTTTTTTCTTAGTCTTATATATTGTGCTTTATTCCAGTGGTCAGAATGAATAGAGTTAACATTGTGTTTGACGGTGTGTAATTAAATGGATTGGATGAGGCAGATTTACCAGAGAAACCTTTTGACATTGCTTTCAAAAACACTTAACACAACAAGTACATTCACACACACCACACTGATGGATTACACATTCCTACCTTTTTCTTGCCCCATGGCCAACTAATTTCATCGGAATGAGCCTCCTTCGCTGTTATCACTTCTTCGACACCTATAGCAGCACACAGATACAAATGATAAACAACTTTCAGGATAAAATAAAAGTGATATAAAAATATAAAGTAACGTCACCAAGATTCTGAGTGAGAACATATATATCCTATCACAGCAGGAGTACATAATTACATTTAAATAAAAAATAAGGCTACATTTTGCAGTGGCTGTCTTTCCTTTTACAAGTTTGTGTCAAATAATATATTGGATAATAAACCAACCTGTTTGGTGCAATAATTGCAAATAAATGACTGTTCGTATTCAATTCCAGAAGTCAACTTGACAAACATTAACATTGAATATGTCAAACCTTAATACTAAGTAAATGTAAGTCTACTATACCTGACATTGTGAGTCCTGTCCTTACGCTTTACCAAACAAATGATATGTCCACAGAGATTCACACACAGGATAAACCTGAGTAACCACACCTCAACATGGTGACCTGAACTAGCCACGCCCCCACCACCTGATATCAATTACCGCGGGGCAGATGCATCAGGTGCAGGCGGAGACTGAAGAGTTACAATTTAAATCAAAATCAAATCGAAATGTATTATAGCCCCAAATCACAAAAAAATCTTAAAAGGGCTGTACGAACCAAACAAAAGCAAAGAAAAAAACACAAATATCATAGCACAACAATTATAAAAACATTATGAACAGCAACACAAGCAGTGCCATTATGATAAAAGCATGTGTATGCAAAACCAGGCAGAAATGATGCTAATGTAGGTGGAAACTAGGTGACATGGAAGACAGATACAAGAGATGTGTTTTGAGTTTGCTTTTATTTTATTTGTCAAATATTCTTATTCACATGAAAAAAGTGTAACAGTGCATTACAGCAAATGAGGCATTTTCACTTTCCCTCAACCCAGCCCCATCCCAACCCATCCCACCGACCCCTCTCCCGGAGCACTGAGGCAACAGTACATCAATTATATACCAAATGATAGATACAATAATATACATACACATATACATATACATATACACATACACATACATACATGCATACATGCATACATACAGTACATGCATACATGCATACATACATACATACATACATACATACACACACACACACATACATACATACATACATACATACATACATACATACATACATACATACATACATACATACATACATATTTGAGTTCGCTTATTCAACGGAATATTATAATATTGCGTCAAAAACAAATGTGAACATGTGATGGTTGATCCTTTTATAGCCTATATTTATTTCCCTATAGATCACATTCAGTTTTTTCTTACGTTCAATTTTTAGTTTGGTATTGAGTCCATTTTGAGTGCAAAAAATATGCCTTACTACTTACACAATACTACTTACAGGTTTGTGTTGGAGGCACTTAAATAAATTACATTGTTAGTTGTTGTTTTATTTTGATAGATGAAAACAGGGTAACAATGTCAGTATTGCAGTAAACTAAGCTAAGTATGTAAATGCTTCAATTATGAGTATCAATAACACAGTGTAAAAGTGTTCCATAACAAAAATCAATGCAGTTAAAGTTGTACTCAAGTAAGTAAGTAAAAGTGGGTTACATCAGCAAAACATAACTGTGGCATGAAAGTAAAAAAAGTGCAAATGGCCCTTTTCAAAGTTTTTTTTTTATATAGAACAACAAATGTATATTCATTCTGCGTTGACGTGCATACCATTATAATGTCAGCTAGTGAAGCTGATTTCAAGTTAAACCAGGATCAGAATCTGCACCACAGAATTGTTTTGTATATAAATATTACGATGTGGAACATTGTGTAAACAACAGCAAAATGTTGTGTCAGATAAAGTAGAACAGCTGGAATGTCCTGTCAAATTATTACCACTGTTGTTGTTGTTACAGTGAGGAGCTCTCTGGTGTCACCTGAGGACAGCTCCATGCATAGACGTTTTTAAATCATTTCTGAAGGAAAGACACTCTGAAATGTTTTATGTTCAAGATGCAAAGCAGCATGAGAGACAGTCTTTACTGTTACACATGAAACAGAAAAAACGTAACCTGATACATAACAAAGCGCACTGTGAGACAACACATGACACATGTATGAGGTTCTAAATCGTTTTTCCGTTTATTGTATTGTCCATACTTTGTTTTTCCTCTTTTACGTAGGTTCTGTTTAAAACTTCAACTAACGACTATTCTAACTATTGTTCAGGTAAATAATAGTTATTAGCTCCTTGATTTACAGTATCCTAAAGCCAACAATTACATCTTCAAATTGTGTTATGTCTTTTATTATTTGTCCACTGCAGTGGTGGAATTTACATTTGCTGACATTATTACAAGGAGATATTGTAATATACGTCAAATATCACTCAGTTGTGATATTTACCTTATTTTTTCCATTTTCAGTCTAACCTACCCATGTAAATTGACTACATTAAACCCAGGATAACATCATTTTGTTATTTTGTTATTGTTATCATTTTAACAAAATCGATCAAAATCAATTTGCACCCTTAATTGACCTTACGAATAAAATAAAAACAGTGCCATCGTGTGGTGAAGGAAATAAACTTTACTTGACAGAATAACTTACATTTTTTGTCAGAACATTTACTTATAGGAATCAACACATTTGTTTACACAACACCAGTAGGTTTCCAGGACAGCGAGGAAAGAACAGGAAGTACAGTTGTTTCACCAAGAGAGACGGAGAGAGCAGTCGGGTCCCTCAGGACGCATCACTCCTGAAATGACAGAAGGACAATGCTGTTACTGCAGAAAGGATACATGATTTATTCAATAACATCTTAGGTGCCACAGCCAATGCTGTATCTTTAATGTATGAATCTTTGTGGCAGCAGCCTGAGTCATAGCAGCCACCACAATGACTTTCATTTTTGTAGCAGGAATGTTATGAAGGTGTGACAGCAGCATGTTCACTTTCATTGATGTGGTTAAAAATAACAACCCTGACTTCCCTGTCTGACCGCTTTTTCCTTTCCACCCTAGGCTTCGTTTGTTCCTCTTTTGCTTTAATCATTTGCATGGAAAACCTAATATTAATGTGACCAACATGATCTGCTTCCTGAATAAAGCTTAGTGAAATGTATTTAGCCCAAAGGTGTCAGACAGTAGCAGTTTGGCTGCAAGTCAGTAAGCTTAAAATGAATCTGCAGATCTGGAAGGTCTTAACTTGATTTAAGTATAAGCTATAAATAAAAAGTAGCACACAATCATGAGGGTGTGGTGTCACAGCTGATGAATGTGCTCACTGCTGCTGCGACCTGTTGTATTTGTTCTACGCACTTCAACCTTTGGAGTGTAACATGGGAACACTTTCATGAACTGAGCACTGAGGGGTGATTAAACAGAGAAAGGCCATGTTTAATAAGCAAATCTGTAAAAAATGTATAAACTCTAACATTGGACCTACCTCGTCACTGCTGCTGGAGGATGAAGACGAGGAGTCGCCTGATTCTTTCCCCTCCTTCTTGTCCTTGTGCTTCTTCTCCTTCTTGCCATCTTTGCAGCCCTTGTCCTTTGACTTATCCTTGTTTCCACATTTATCCTTGCCATCCTAAAAAATGGCAAAAGGTCACTCTTAATAAGTAATTGATTGTGTTGGCTTAATCTCGAGGATAGTTTGATTCTTTTAATGAGATTAATTAATTGAGTGAAAGGCTGCAGATAAAGGAAAATTATATAAAACTTGGCCTTGCTGTAAAAAAACAGCTAAAAACACAAAGTAGAAGCCTACAACATCTAACAAAAACTCTTACCTTGCTCTTCTTCTTAGAACCTGTACGGATGAAAAGATGGTTAAGTATTAGGTAAGTGTGAGTGTGTGTATAAATCTGAGCTCTTGCATCGACAAATATAATTATGTTTTTCAAATATACATTGAATAATTAGTAATAATGTCAGAAGCAAATCCTGTCCTAAAATTGCCCGTTGAAAGACACACGCATTAACATTCAAAGCATTCCTTCTAAAAGCAATGAAAGTAAACGTTAATCCTACCTGGGCAATCCATGGTGACTCCTGTTTGTGTGCTTCCTCAAACAAGTGACCACAGACTCACAACAGGTAATCTTATAAACCACTCAAACCACACAACCTAACCTCACCACATCCCCAAACACCGCTCCCTCTGTTATTGTAACCTGATATAAAGTCATTTACTGCAGGGCAGATACGTTCAAGCGCAGGCAGATATATCACAGTTAGGAATGCACAGTACAAAGTTGTCAATACTATAAAAACAGGTTAAGTTCAAATAGAGTAGGCCTATACCTCTTAAAAGTAAAAAGTTGCTCTTTTATGAGTGTTTTTATACATGACATGGAAGTGTTATCCCCTTTGCATTACTTTTAAATAGCATTTTTATTGAAAAGTTATTGAGTACTAAAAGTTCTTGGTTGGTGATAAATAAATCTGCCATTGCAGTTAGATTATTTCAATCCGTTTTTAAAAACAATAAATTGTTTCAACCTTCTTTCTGCATGTGTAAGAACAAAGACAGAACAGAACAAGTTATTCAAGACTGCACTTCCTGTAAGAGCAGTTCTTTAGGAAATGTAATGTAATTAATTATGAGGAGCAGTGCGTACTTTAACCATCCAACAAGGAAAACTAGTGTTAGAGAAAGCAGAGCATCTTGTTTTTCATGTATGATTATCTCCGATTCGTTTTACAGTTCACCCGAGGAAACTGTCTCGTCATCTGAGGACTGATTAGTTTCATGCAGCTCCACACCTTTAATCACATTGGAATAAAAATCTGCATCTTTGAAAAACCCTTAATAACCGTGGGCAATGGCACAAGAAATGTAGAGTGAAATTAACATATAAAACATTATAAAAAATACTACTGTATTAAGCTTACATGTAACTTAGCTCAACAAAGAGGTTGGTAACCAATCTTAGGAGTACAACAAATATTTCACCTTTAAGAAAGTCTATTTTCAATAACTTAAATGGGTGCTTACTCGAAGGCAAGGCTAAAACAAACCCCACCGGTACTTTAATTTGCAAACAATAAAAAGTGCCCTCCACATCCGCAGAAAAATACATTGAATGAAATGTACTTCTCTTAAAGGTCACCTATCATGCTATTTTTAGGCAATAGCATAGGTCTCAGATATATAAAAATATATAAAAAACATGTCTATGAAGTGTTTTGCTTAAAAAACCAAACAGATCACCCATTCTAGCCATGTCTCATATCCCTCTATTTCACTTCCTGTTTCAAAAGTGCTGATTTTGGGTATAAAGCTTTAAAAAAAAAAAAAGGAAGGGGCTGAGCTCATGCGGGACCAGCAGCTACTGTCTAAACTAAATACTGCCATGATGAAACGCCATATCATGGATTATCAAGGATTATTTCTGAAACAGTATGGAGCTCAAAGGCTTTCTCTCTTGCCGGTTATACCACAAGGTGAGTTCCTTTTTATATCCAGCTTCTTCACACACATGCTCTCCAGTACAGGTTAGCTCTGAGTGTTAGCGATGCTAATGTAAACACCGACCATATTACGTCCAAAACAGTCGGGCAATGTTTCTGATAGCAACTTTCTGATAGTGCCGTGGGTCCACATTTTCGATATTACGTCATATCGGACGCAAATCTGGAACAGCTCCGTTGTAGTCCCGTTTTTAGAGATTTGGGTACGGAGGAAAAGAGAGAGGGTTTTATTTTCTGACGCTGCGTGAGTTCCATAGACTGTATATATAAAGGTGAGTTCCCTGTCACACCGGGGACACATATTTATGTATAAAAGACATCAAAAAGTGCATTTTGCATGATAGGTCCCCTTTAATACATTTAGTAACCAGACATATACAAGAAAACAAGCCTTTTTTTGTTAAAACATTTACTTCAATCAATCAGCAGATTAGTTTACACAACACCAGCATGTTTCAGTGACATCAATGAAAAGACACAAAGGAAGGTTGGTACTGCTGCACACTTTAAGACACACATTCATTTAGTTCAAATCACAAGAGACTGACAGAGAGGTCCGGTCCCTCAGGGAGCATCAATCCTGAAATGACAAAAAGGACAATGATGTTACCGCAGAATGAATGGGATGAGGGGGTAACAATGTGATAACTGAATACATACTGAATATATTTCCCACTACCAGGTCATTATTATAACATTACATGAGAGTGAAAATCTCTGAAAGTTCCAAATATTAAAAGGTCCACAATTGATCATTTCTTTTTGGATTTAGGACATTTCATTTTTTGGATACAAGTTGAAGATGATTGAAGTTAGTTTTTGTTGTGAGAGGTAGATGAGCTGTATACAATCACTGGTCATGTCATAATTAAAACAAATGGAAAGTATAAAAACACTTTAGTGAGAAGTATATTATGACAGGGCATACAATCATCACTTACCTTAGCTGTTGGATGAACAATCCTGGGTTTCAGATCAGCTGGCATTTACTGTAAAAAAAAAAAGTATCATTAAAAAAACACTAACGTTACTCCTTAACAGTAATAAAGACATGTTCCTACCAAGACTGCTGTTTTGTCAGGAGTTAACCTATCCTCATTGTGTTGAAATATATACCCCTTCACATACCCAGTAGTTAAAATATACCTACATTATAAAACATATTTCCAGACCTTTTCCCCCTAACTTCACACCTTCGCCCTGTTCCCTGGTTCTCATCAGTACATACTGTACTTGTTCACTTGAAACAAGACTCCCTGCCGCTCTTCCAGCAGAGTGCACCTGAATGAAAAGCCTTTTGAGCTTAAGGACACAGAACTTTCAAGGGAAAAGAAACAGACTGGAGGGATTGATTTGCAGCCTTTAATCGTGTAATTGCACAACTACTCCGAGCCCTTTCATTTATTTTGGCTGTTAGCAAAAATACATTCACTAAATTGTATTCTAGGGTGTTAGCTAGAAAGGACACAAGGCGTGAGGCAGTGTGTTCTCTTTCATGGAAGTAATTGGACAACACACCTGTTTTATTACTCTACTATCTGACCGGTTTGCCTTCTCTCCCACCCTGGGCTTGGTTCTTTCTTCGTCATTCATTCATATAAATATGCCAAACATGACATTTCCTGAATAAAGCTTTGACAAAGTTGAACAACTTTAGCCCAAAGGTGATGAGAAAGTCAAGTTTGGCTAATAAGCTAAAAACAAATCTGCTGATCTTGAAGGTGTTGACTAACAACCCTAGCTATAAATAAAAACTACACACACACACAGGAGGGTGTGGGGCCTCACATCTGATTAAATCTGGCGCTGTCTGTGAGATATGTTCCACCAGTGTTGTTTCAGACCATTATCTACGCACGCTGACCTTTGATACGAGGTGTGACAGGTAGGCTTCCTGCTCAGCTGCTTTTTATCCCGTTTTGCAAATAAGAAGAACAACAAACTATGGAAGTGAGTCGTGGGAACTTTTTCACCCAACTAAAACAAATAACTGCAACAATAGGCCTACCTCTTCATCACTGCTGGAGGATGAAGACGAGGAGCTTGATGAACTTCCCTCCTTCCTTTCCTTCTTCTTGTCCTTCTTCTTGTGGTCTTTGTCGTGCTTGTCCTTGTGCTTTTTGTGAGACTTGTGCTTATTGTCAGATTTATGGGATTTGTGAGACTTGTCGTCTTTGTCGGACGTGTGCTTTTTATCAGACTTGTGATCTTTATCAGACTTGTGATCTTTGTCAGACTTGTGATCTTTGTCAGACTTGTGTGTTGAGTCGGACTTGTCCTTGCAGTCTCCCTACAAATGGCAAAAGTTGACTTTAGATAATCATTGTGTTGATTTATTGTTAAGAATTGTGCTTTGTTTCAATAATTATATACATCAATGTAAAGTGAGAACTGGGTTTGAAGGGCTGCAGTGAGCTGGCAGCACATGAAGGGGATTTATCAGAGAAAGCAAACATCTAAAATCAACCTTAATTGACAAATAATTATAGGCTACCTATACTTATTTGGCAATATTGTGTACGTTATATCTGGATCATATTTGTGTATCTTTGCTAGAATGTAAACATGCAAAGTTCCTACCTTATCCTTGTCCTTCTTCCAGGGCAACTTAATCTCATCCTTCTGAGCTTCCTCCTTCTTCACGTCCTCTTCCCCCCCACCTAAAGCTGCACACATGCAAAAGAGATGTCAAACACAATCTGAGAGCAGTTCTAGTCTTACATCTACTTAAATCAAATTGGCTACACCTTGACTGTCTAACATCAGGTTGCACATTTTGGATTTAGCTTCTAAAATAAAGTACATTGGATAATCAATTAGGCTGTCGGGTGTAAAGCGTGCTAAAAAAGACCTGTTGCTCTTCATGTTAGCTTATACAGACTGTAAAATGCAGTTGAATAAACATAAATCTGTGCCTACCTGACGCCAGATCGAAAGACATTTTGTTGCTGTGCTTTTCCTAACAAGACGCCTTCACCGGCTGCTTGTCTCACAAAAAGGAAACTGGATAGACCACGCCTGAATCACGTGACCAAAACACGCCCCCAGCCACCTTACGACGGGAGCTGCTTTCAAGTGCAGGTGGAGATAACTTATTCAGAAATTGACTATATAACACCAACCATAAACCTGCACAGCAAGATTGTTTAACTTTTATTGAAGGGTGGATACAAGTGGAAAGTACATGTCATATACAGCAACAAAATACCTGCATTAAAGTGCATTAAACTAGGTGAGGTTGCGTTTTATTGCATAGAAATGTTACTTTAAAAGATTTGTTCTTCTTTTAAAAGTTACATAACCCTTTTTTAAGTTATAACTTTATCATAAACATCAAACCATTCATTTAGAATTTAATTGACCATGTCTCTGATTTGAATTTCACAAATAATTTAATCTAAAATGTAGAATATTATGGGATTGTTGTCTTAAAAAGTGTACCAGTTTTAACTATACGTCTGCAAATAATAGGTTAAAAGCCTTTACAAGTTAGTATTGGGGGACAGGATGTACTTTTGTGATCCAATGTAGGATTATCTTACTATATAAACAGATGTTAGAGAACATAGAATATTGTGTATGTCATATTACCAGCTCAGTATTTTAAAGTTCTATTTCACCACTTCCTGGACCAAAATATTGAAAGTGTTCGAGGAAGCACCCCCTATTTTTTTCCCATTTCCCTCTTCATTCAGATGATCCAGCCCAATATAAATGTCAATATCCAAAGCCACTAAACAGCCACAGTGACCATCATCTTAGTTCTTGCTTTGCATCTGCAGACCCTGGGATTTAACAGTACCTGAAGGCAACATAAGAAAAGTAAACAGCAAACAAAACAAATAAAATTATGCTTTTTTTATTCCACACAGCAAGGTTTTTGAATTATTTCATGTGATTATAAAATTACGATTCTGCCACAAATATGCTTAGTCTTACCAATTAAAAAAGCTAATTAAGAACTATTCATACTTTTTCATTATAATTGTTTTCATAGGGTAATTATCTTCCTCAAGTTGAACAGTTTATTGCATAAAATCAGGGCATCATTAGAGCAAAAACATCCTCAAGGGTCATGTAAGCTGTGTCAGTAACATCTTATTCGGTCTATGACATCTCATCGTTGGTAAGGCCTGGGGCCTTTCAATATGTCACTTGAGGTGAGGTGGGAGGTGGAATGGGTCCCAGTATCTCCGGACCTCCTTGGGCTCCCCATCAGAGCCTCCATGGGGCTGGGAGGTCTGCGAAACCTATCCCCGGGACTCAGGGAGGAAACAGAGAAAGAGGGCTTGGAGGCCGCTGAGAGACTTGGATCCAGCTTCACAAGGGGTTTGGATGGGAGAGACACGTAGGAGACGACATGAGCACCAGGAAGAAGAGCAGGAGGAGGAGCCCCACCAGGAGCAACACCAGGAGCAACACCAGGAGCAACACCAGGAGCAACACCAGGAGCAACACCAGGAGCAACACCAGGAGCAACACCAGGAGCGCCGGCTGGCTTACAGAAGCTGCCGCTGGGACCTGAAAGTCTGCCCCCACCGGAGCCAGAAGCTTCCATTTTTGGCTCGCCGGTTACCTCACCATGAGGGCTTTCCTGGAATGAATCAACATCACAACATGAAGGGCATTGTATATAGCAAATCAGGCTCATTCAGAAGAAGGGGACTCGACTGGGAGTAAATGGTTCATTGTGCCTTTTTTTCGTCCTGAGGAAATAGCTTGACTCAATAATTACTTACTCACCTACGAGGCCCGGGACCCCCTCTGACAAAGCCTCCTAACCCCTCCTATAGACACTAAGCTCTACATTAACATCATGTGAGCCATCCCTCCTATTCCATACTGTACATTCCCTTTCCTCTGTATATTTTGCAAATTTTTGCTAAAAGGCCAACTCATTTATAACTGCACAGCTCTGCCACTTTAAATGTTCTGTACATTGTTGTCATATAATTACTGTACTTACTTTGTTAGCATATTTATATATCTTGTAAACATTTCTTTATATATGTATATATCATTTTATTTATATATTTGTTTCTTTTTTACAACATAATTCTTCCTGTGATGTTTATGAATGAATACATGCACCAAAGCAAATTCCTTGTATGTGTGAACCGAACTAATTATGATGAAAGTGTGTAAACCCCATAATGTTTTTACATGGTTTATATGAGAAGCAAACTCACCCTCTTTTCATTTTCACTTCCCGGATGACCCTGAACACTGAAGGTCAAACAGGAAATACATCAGTAATTTCATCTTCACATTAAACACTGTCCGATGATATTGAGTAATCATTTACCTTTTTCTTCTTGTCCTTCTTGTCCTTTTTATTTTCCTTGTCACTGCCGCTGGAACTATCAGATGATCTGGAGTCCTGCTCAAATGTAAAGGTTAGTTTATTTATATTGCACATTTCAGACACAAAGGCAACTCAATGTGCAAAACACTCATCATGTTTGTTTAGTGAACAAATATATTATCGTAAATGTGTTTTTACTTATTACATGCTAAATTACCTTCTTTTTGTCCTTCTTCTTTTTCTTCTTCTTGTCCTTCTTCTTCTTTTTCTTCTTGTCGTCATCACTGCTAGAAGAATCGGAGTCCTTGATAGATGTAAATATGGCAATTGTGTTAGTATACTACTGTTTTTCTTCTCGGATGAGAGAAACCAAGTTCATTTCCATTAGGGAATTGGACTTACAAATATACTAAGCAGATGGCTACATTTTACAGGGTATATGCAGGAATCCTGCAGTCACATTTAATACCTTTTAAGACCTTTTTTAAGACCCTTGACATACATTTTAAGACCTCATCGCCACTTCGAGTTCTAACCGGTTACATTGGCGACACACTTTACCTCACATTTACTATATACAGTATTGATTGTCCTTCCTCCTTATCTTCCAACCATTTGGACGCAAACTTGCATTTCCCCATAACGATGTTGTTTAACAACCAACGTAAATGGACCTTCGCTCACTATCAAGCAGTGAGCGTACGATGTCCTGTTCAGATGACTTCAAATCCAACGGGTTGCCATAAATAAACTACACAGAATCACACTACACACCTACGCAATGATTACATTCAGGCAAACTGTAGAATACAACCTCTTTGGACAATTTATATACTTATTGAAAACAAGCTACGAAATGTAATACCTTGGAAAATGCCGTTTAATACTTTTTAATAGCCTTCATTTCCGCTAAATTGATTTATCAACTTTTAATACTTTTTAAGACCCCGCGGACACCCTGTTTTAGCTTCACCTCTTTCTTGTCTTTCTTGTTCTTCTTCTTCTTCTTTTTATCCTTCTTCTTCTTCTTTTTCTTCTTATCATCATCGCTAGAAGAATCGCTTGAGGTCTCAGAAGAAGAATCCTGGACCGAAAAAGAAATGACAATAAAAAGATAACGCATTTTATTCATACAGTAGTAATCACCTGTCAATCTCTCCAAAATTAACCAAAGATCATCAATATTAAGAGTTGTCAAAAGCCAAACTTTGTATCTCCTATTTTCAACCAAAAACCTAGAGTTTAAAAACAAAGGTGGAGACGCTCTCACCTTCTTCTTCTTTTTGTCCTTTTTCTTCTTCTTATCCTTCTTCTTTTTCTTATCTGTCTTGGTCTTTTTCTTCTGAAGTTACAAAAGGCAAACACTAATGATGAGTTTTATCTTTGTAAACTTGGGGGGTTTTTTTTAGTCAATTTATTGAACATGTCAGAAACAAAACATACAACAATAATAATAATATATATATTTTTATATTTTTATATATCTTTTTCTCACTCATAATAATTATAACAAAGTACAGCAAACAGGGGCAAGAAGAAGCTCAAACAAAACTTTTCTGGTCCTACCCCCTCTAGCATACACGTTCCTTATAAATAAAAATATTAGGTCGTCGTCATCAGCGACATGTTTGTCTTTTTACAAAACAATCAGAAAGAAATTACTTTTATAATTACAAGAAATAACAAATGGGATTGTACAGGTCCTGTTCATAACCATTCATGATTTGGCTCCTAAATAATTCTTTCAGTTTAGATAGACTTCAGTGCATCGTTACGGTTATTACACAGACTAACACCTACACATAGTAGCGAACATAACATGTGTCATCTCACCTTGTCATCATCACTATCAGAGGAAGGGGAGGAGCTATCTTCAGAAGAGCAGGACTTCTAGAAATGGAAGTCAGGCAATCAGTCACAGAAGGGCATCTTTGTGCAATAAACTCACGTTATGAGCATCAGAAGTAGCACATTATTCTATTAAAACAACAACCAGTAAAGGTATACAAGCTTTCACGTGTGTTACCTTCTTCTTCTTTTTCTTCTTTTTCTTCTGGTCCTCTTCACTATCAGAGGATGAGGAACAGCTGGAATCCTGTAAAAAACAGAGAGCGGAGGGATGAAATAATAACATCACACGTGCAACACTGTAATAGACAAGAGGTGTTTAAAGGGGACCTATCATGCAAAATGCACTTTTGTACGTCTTTTATACATGAATATGTCTCCCCGGTGTTCCAGGGAACTCACCAAGTGTCAGAAAACACAACCCTCTCTATTTTCCTCCATACCCAAATCTCTAAAAAAGGGGCTGCAACGGATCTGATAAAAACTGATCCAGATTTGAACACTTTCCTGACGTCAGGACAGTGGCGCTACGGCTATTGGGCCAACTCCACCAATCAGGAGGAGACAGCCACGGCCATTGCCGTTCGAAAGCGCTGGAGACGCTGTAGTACATATGCCAGGCCTCTAGATGGTGCTGTTCTCACAGAATCTGCCCTTGCTAAAACAGATCTAAAAAATGTCAAATTGAGCAAAATGAGGCATGGCTAAAATGCATGATCTGTTTGGTATTTTGAAAAAAAAAAGTATAAATATGCCTTATATAGGTATGGTCCTACACTATATTATTCAAATATAGCATGATAGGTCCACTTTAAGGTACAAACCTTATCCTTCTTCTTCTTTGTCTTCTTCTTTTTCTTCTTCTTCTTCTTCTTGTCATCCTCACTATCAGAAGAAGAGGAGGAAGAGCCGACATCCTGTAAAGAGATAGAGACAGCAGAGAATCATATAATGAGATGAAACCAAGTATACAGGCTCAGTAACCACAAACTGGCAATCGAAACAGGAAGACACAAAAGATCCTGGCAACCAAAAGAAAACTGAATATGTGGTCACTGTATGACAGGTGAGACTGAGACAGAGATGCACTTCCTCCTAAAGTGCTAAACATTAAAAGAAATACGGGACATTTACTGTAACAAGTTGAACTCTGTGATTCCAGGTTTCAAGGAGGTTAATGACCTCTCAAGATGGAAAATACTCCTAGGAGAAGGAGACAAGGCACATCTTGCTGCCCAATATGTAAACACATGCCACAAGCTGAGGGACAGTGAATGAGACACACACACACACAAAATCATGCACCCACGCACCCAAAGAAACACAAACACACACACACACACACACACACACACACACACACACACACACACACACACACACGCACACACACACACACACACACACACACGGGTGTTGAAGTGTAATTGTATCACTGTATATATATATATATATCAATAATATGTAAACATTTGAAATGTATGTTAATGTTGTTAATTATTTTGTATCTTGATGCTTTGGCAACATTGTTTCCTTTAACTTTCATGCCAATAAAGCCCCTTTGAATTTGAATTGAATTGAATTGAAACAGCACAACAAAAATAAGGAACAGGAACAAACCCTGTCCTTCTTCTTCTTTGTCTTCTTCTTCTTCTTTTTCTTCTTCTTCTTCTTCTTGTCATCCTCACTATCAGAAGAGGAGGAGGAAGAGCCGGCATCCTGTAAAGAGAAATAGATAGAGACAAAGATGATATAATAGGACTAAACAGCAACAATATAAAATAAAAGCATTATACTAAGATTTCTTTTTTAAAACAAATTGTATTTGCTTTTATTTGTTTTAACTATACACCCTAACCCTGCAAAAGACTCGGAAAAAACCTAATAAATAAATAATCAAATAAATAACCAGATTTTCATGACTACCAAATAAATATAATTTGAAACATATTACCCATTTAAAAACATCCTCCTTAACACACTTTAAAAACAAAGACTACACCTATCCTTTCAAACTTCAATAATAGAGAGTCATTCTCCCCCAGTCAGCACAGACCCTGCCCAACAGCCCACACATCCAGAAACCCCTGCAGATGGTTGATCAGCGTGTAGGACGCATGCTCCGCCCTCAGACGCGCTGCCACCAGCCCCCTCAGACAGAGCACTGCATCCGTCCATCCCACTCCAGCAAGTTGGTTCTTTCTACTTTTCCAGATTGCTCATTTTGCATTAGCAAACAAGAAATGTATCAGTACTAGAGTTTCCCTCTCTTTCAGGGTGCATTTGGGGCCATGGACAGAAAGTGGTATGGAGAAAGCCTACCCCAACCCTTCCACCCACTCCTGTAACGTTTTTTTTAGACCATCCAATCGGGGACAGGACACCACGAAGTGTTCCAATGTTTCTGCCATAAAACAGAACGGACAGCCCCCGCATTAAACTAAGATGAAGCCACACACCTTATCTTTATTCTTCTTGGTCTTCTTCTTCTTCTTCTTCTTCTTCTTCTTCTTCTTCTTCTCATCTTCACTATCAGAAGAGGAGGAGGAAGAGCTGGAATCCTGGACAGGAGAGAGTCAAGAAGGACTTGGTAAAAATAAACGAGTCAAGTAACTGAATTTACAAAAATGTTTTGTATCACAAACCTTATCTTTCTTCTTCTTTGTCTTCTTCTTTTTCTTCTTCTTCTTCTTGTCATCTTCGCTATCAGAGGATGAAGAAGAGGAGGAAGAGCTGCAATCCTGTAAAGAGAAAGAATAAAGATATAATAATATTAAACAGCACAAATACAAAAAAAGGTCAAATGAAGAGGTGACGGCACAAACCTTATCCTTCTTCTTCTTCATCTTCTTCTTCTTCTTGTCATCTTCGCTGTCTGAGCTATCAGATGATGAAGAAGAGGAGGAGCTGGAGGAGTCCTATAGATCAAAACGAAAACAAGCATTCATATTAATATCCAAGGAACAAATACCTTGATTAGCATCTGTTTTATACTAATACATTATTATTATTATCACTAGGGCTGTGCGATTATGGCAAAAATCATAATCACGATTATGGCAAAAATCATAATCACGATTATTTGGGTCAATAATTGATATCATGATTATTAAAAACGATTATCCATTTACTTTGAAAACATCCATTTATTGAAAAAGAAAATGTGAACAGTATGTTTTTAACAGTTGATTACCCTGAACTTTAAGTATAATTCAACTGAAAAACCAATAAAAAAAAAAATTTAAATAAAAGAATTATTACATTTAAAAAAAAAATAATAATAATAATCGTTTTATTTCGATTACGTTGTTTTCGTAATCGTTGCAAGCCAAAGTCGTAATCGAGATTAAAATACGATTAATTGTACAGCCCTAATTATCACAAATTAAATCACAAATTGGCAACACATAATATGCCCTTTTCATTTCTTTGATTTGAAAAAACGTTTTGTCAGCGGATATGAACACATTGTTTACAGATTGTTTGTATACCTTTTCCTTCTTCTTCTTTTTCTTCTTCTTGTCTTTCTTATCATCCTCACTGTCAGAAGATGAACCAGAACCCTGTAGCAAAATACAGAATATATTTTGTTCTTTTTAAATCCCTTTTTATCCCGTAACATAATAATAATAATAATAATAATAATAATACATTTTATTTTTAGGCGCCTTTCATGACACCCAAGGACACCGTACAATTTGTTAAAAAATAAATAAATAAAACGCTAATAGGCAGCAAAACATGATAAAAACACAAACAGGAAATCATGGAGGAGACAGTCAAGTGGACACAAATTAAACATATAATAGGGAGGACTACAGTGAGTAGGCAGATTTGAACAGGTGGGTTTTTAATTGGGATTTGAATATGGTGATTGTGTCTGACTGTCGGATGTGCGGGGGGAGGGAGTTCCAGAGTCTGGGAGCAGTGCAGCTAAAAGCCCGAGCACCCATGGTGACGAGGCGTGGGGTGGGGACGGTTAGCAGACCAGCAGAGGAGGAGCGGAGGGAGCGAGACGGGGTGTACTCCTGAAGAAGGTCAGCCAGATAGGGGGGGGGCAGGTTATGTAGGGCTTTGTAAGTGAGCAGTAGGTTTTTGAAGTTGATGCGTGATTGAACGGGGAGCCAGTGGAGTTGGATGAGGATGGGGGTGATGTGTTCTGAGGCCTTGGTGCCGGTGATGATCCGGGCTGCAGAGTTCTGTATGATTTGTAGTTTGTTGATGAGCTTGGTGGGGATGCCTGAGAGGATGGCGTTACAGTAGTCGATGCGGGAGGTGACAAAGGCATTGACCAGGATTTCAGTGTTTGATTGAGAAAGGGATGGGCGGAGTCTGGAGATGTTGCGTATGTGGAAGAAGGCAGTCCGGGTGATGTTATTTATGTGAGGTGAAAATGAGAGGGAGCTGTCCAGGATGACACCAAGGCTCTTAACTTGGCCAGAGAAGGGGATGGAGTAGCCATCAATGATGAGGTTGGAGGCAGGGGAGGATGAGGTTTTGGAGAGGGTGGTTTTGGTGCCAACCAGCAGGGCTTCGGTTTTGCTGCCGTTGAGCTTTAGGAAGTTCCTGCTCATCCAGTTCCTGATGTCCTGGAGGCAGTTGGTGAGAGAGGTTGGGGGGAGGGCAGTGTTGGGTTTGCTGGAAATGTAGACCTGTGTATCATCGGCGTAACAGTGGAAATGGACATTGTGATGACGGAGGATAGTGCCAAGGGGGAGTAGGTAGATGATAAACAGGAGTGGACCCAATACTGACCCCTGAGGAACACCATGTGAGACAGTAGAGCAGCTTGACCGGTGGGTGCTGAGACGGACATATTGTTTTCTGTCTGTGAGGTAGGATGAAAACCATGAGAGTGCAGTACCAGTGATCCCAATGTCTGCCAAGCGTTTGATAAGCAGTGGGTGCGAGATGGTGTCAAAGGCAGCTGTGAGGTCAAGGAGGATTAGGATGGTGAGCAGTCCAGAGTCAGCTGCACGGAGGAGGTCGTTGGTGATTTTTACCAGCGCTGTTTCGGTGCTGTGCTTTGACATAAATATGTACTACTATAAAGTTGCATCATACATGGTGGTGATAGTGCCCTGTAACACCAGGGAAAAGGTGTATTTCTTTATTTAAAGGAAGTAGAGTAGACTTTTCATTACATGTTACTTGTTAGATGCTTTTATCCAAAGCGACTTACATACTCAATACTGTGGGCAATCCCCACAGGAGCAATTTGGGGTGAAGTGTCTTGCCCAGGGACACAACGACATGCTGACTGCAGTGGGGTTTGAACCTGAACACCAACGCACTAATCCACTGCGCCACACACCTCCAGAGTTGAATGCATTCTCCTGTAATTAAGCAGCGTAGTGTATTTACCTTTTTCTTCTTCAACTTCTTCTTTTTCTCCTTGTCCTTCTCTCCTTCTCCCTCATCATCACTCATGTTGCCATCCTCAATACAATCAGGGAATGCTTTTGCTCCCTCTGAGAGACAGAAAACATCATTAAAACCAAAACCAAAATAGTTTAAATGAACCAACCAAGGCTTAAATAGCACCCATACCTGCACATGAAACGGACAGCTTGTCTTCTCCTGCTGCTTTAGGCTCTTTCTTGGCCTGTCATGACAAAAGCAGGCGCTGATTATGAACTGTAGTTCAATTGTGCAAATATGTGTGGCATGCAGAGTATTTGTGAGTATTTCACCTTGTCTGCAGCTTTCTTCTTATCTCCATCAGCACACGGTCCTGCAATCTCACCGTCTGCAGAAATTCAAGCAATAGTGCATCAACTCCATGAACAGGTCTATCACTATGACGAGTGCGACTTGTTATCCTCTCTTTAGTCACTAAAAAGTGGAAACACTCACCAGTTGCTGAAAGAACAAAGCAGAGCTCCTTTTGCTCTTCATCCTGTGGACAATCACAAATACAATCAATCTCAAGTGTATTGTTTTTTAACGCATGCTTTTCACCATATATCTATGCACTTTACGCAGAGATGTGTTGCACATGCACACGACAAACACACACTTGTTGACAGATCATAAACATATACACACCCATTCATTGTCTCTGCAGGGGAGTATCATTTGAACATACTGTATCTTTGAAAAACTCGAGGTGTTACGAAAGCGTGCAAGGGCTATGTATGTTTCATGCCCTGACAGGTACAAAAGCTATATACGCATTTTATCAGTAGGTGTGTGCACTGTTGGGGAATCTGGTTTGCTCATAACTACAACATGCTGCTCACCAGTTGAGCACTAAGACATGGAGATAATGTTCACACTTGGTAGCAGAAACAAAATAGAAAAATGTGACACAGCTTATTCTGAGAGTTAATTTATGGCAATGTTTACACAATGAGCAGTTTCACCACTGATCGGAAGACCTATAAGGCTTTTTAAACAAAAAGGAATATTACCTTTTTGTTGTCCTTCTTCTTCTTCTTTTTCTTCTTATCTTTATCGCAGTCAGAAGATGAAGAGCTAGAATCCTGTGTCATTAAAAAAGAAAGATTAATTAAAAAAAATGATAATTCTTGCATACAATGTTTTTGACATTGTTACATTGTTATTTATTCAGGAAACAATTGATTGGCATTAACATATTACTCTATACTTCCTGCAGAATCTTCCAAACCTTGATTTACTCAGTAAAGAGTAGCAGCACGTTGCATTACCTTTTTCTTGTCTTTCTTTTTCTTCTTCTTCTTGTCTTTCTTCTTCTTTTTCTTTTTGTCATCCTCACTGTCAGAGGAGGATGATGAAGAGGAGGAACTGTCTGAAGAAGAGGAGCAGGAGTCCTTTAAAAGAAGAACAAAAAAATGTATGTGTCAGTATTGATCCTTTCTATTTACACAAAAGGAATACAGACCGCTGACCCCCACGATATTCATTTGCACATATATGTGTCAAAGAGAAAGTCTATATGGCGTGCGCTCCCAAGATTTTATTCAGATGCTGGTTCCTACAGTGAGAACAAAACTGGGTAAAACAGCTTTTAAATATGCTGCCCCCACAGCTTGGAACAATGTACAGAAGGAGCTGAAACTCTCAGATGTAATCACTATGGGGGAATTCAGGTCCATCTTAAAGGGCAGAGAACACGACACCATTGTTATGTTTGTTTTTGCCCTATTACTTGTAAAGCGACCTTGGGTCCCTTGAAAGGCGCTATATAAATCCAAGCTATTATTATTATTATTATTAATGAAGCTCAGCGCAAGTTCAACCAGGAAGACCGTCTTTAGTCATTCACGTATTTCTATTCCCATGTTACTACTCTCTCTCCTCTCAATAAGTGACCGGGGGCGTCACTCTTCAGCTTAACCAATCACTTCGCTCTATTCCCAAGAGCCTATCATATCGCTCTGTCAAACCTTTTAAGTCTGCTCTTCCGCCTCTGACAGCTGTCATTTCAGGTGACTCTACGCAACCCTCCTCCACCCCTTTTCACCTCCGGTCCCTCTGAATCCAGGGTCAAGCTAAACCACTCCTCTTCAGACCGACCCAACTATCCATTCACCACCACCAGTGTCTAGACCCCAGGGGGGTTTCATCGGATCGGTTCTACCTTCCCGAATGATACTTCCTGCACAACGGGGCCTAATCGCCAAAATTACCATTGCATTCATTTGTGCATCTGCGCAATAAATATGTATTATTACATCAAAACCGTCTCTCCTGATTGAATTATTATTGGTAGATGTGAGTGCTTGTATATATCCAAAAATCGTTTTAAATTTAGCCAGTTTTTAATGATTTTTAATAGTTTGTTTTATTTCGCATATTGACTGGCTAATGTGCCATTTCATTTGTGTGTTTTACAGCTGTATTTGTCTGCCTGTCTTGTCTGTGTTTTATCTGTTGTAACTTCGTTCATCCCTTCTTGGCCAGGTCACTCTTGGAAAAGAGATTGTAATCTCAATGAGTTTTTTTCCTGGTTAAATAAAGGATATATATATATATATTGTAACTGTATATATGAAATAAACCATACCTTCGTCTTCTTCTTCTTCTTCTTTTTCTTCTTCTTCTTTTTCTTTTCATCCTCGCTGTCGGACGATGAACTGTCAGATGAAGACGAATCCTTGGAAAGCAAAATCAATATTTAAAAACATGAAGGTTGAATGTATCGAAATGTTTGTTTTCATTACTTTTGACTAAATGACGTCTGGTAGTCCAATAGCACCGGTAATTCATTCTTATATTCTGTTTTATGGACAATTGTACATACCTTCTTCTTCTTTTTCTTCTTCTTCTTGTCCTTCTTCTTCTTTTTCTTCTTGTCTTTCTCCTTGTCATCCTCGTCATCCGATGAGTTGAAGTCCTGATGCAGAAAAAGGGAAAACAATCTATAATGACACATTTATAAGCCAACCTTTGTGTTAAAAGAGAGTTTCTTTTAGCAAATCTCTCACCTCGCTTATCATACTACCATCTGCACTATTGGGTTCCAGTTGATCATCGTGACCTGAGATAAGTTAATACAAGAAAAAACAATAATTTGTTTAATTACATTTTTTTTAAATGTACATGCATTGTCAGCTAAAATACTTTTCTATAATAAAATTGTTGATTCAGATAACTGCCTCACAGCTGTTCATATTATGCAATACAACTCTGTCAACTTTATTTAAAAAGAAAAGGCCATTTAAGTTTTTTAGAAAACAAGACAAATTTATAATCAGACTGATTAGGTTTTCTTAACTTTTTAGCTATATGTTAACTTCTAAGAATTTGGAAATGACAATACTTAAGATAGATAATATCAGAATGTGCATGTCAAAGTTTCAATGCAAACTTTTTTGCAGAGCACCTTAGAAATGCTTTTCTTTCAAAGATTTGAAATAAATGCAAACAATATAACACGGAGTGAGAAAATGATTTGGAATAAATGGTTTTATAAAGCAGAATCTACAGAGCCTGAACATGTATTATACTAATGAGATTTCATTTAAAAACATCTGAATAAATACACCAGTTTGAAAATGCAAATTCCACTTACATAGGATAATACTGTCCCAGACATACTCTCTCTGGTCATACTTGTTCTTCTTCTTCTTCTTTTTCTTCTTCTTCTTGTCATCCTGCAAGAGCATTTTAACACTTTTACAACTTCTACTTCTGTATGAGCATACACTATGTTTGAAGCTTGTTTGCAAAGTGTATATATATAAAGTCATAAGAGTCATCTAGGTCAGGTTAGGGTGTCACCTACCACTAGTTATATATTAAGAATACTCTGCCTTCAATTCAGGTAGATAACAAACATCCACACCTACTGTGGACATGGAGCCAAAACCAACACATAAGAAATAATGTGCATTACACAGATACTGGGTGCATTAACATTCAGTACTACTATATGTAACAATGCATTTAAGCCTGTATACATACACATGTGTGATAGTTGGCGCTCCCATGTAAAATAAAGCTATGTAGTTTACATATGATTGTATTGTGAGGACATTCTGATACAGAAGTTGTTCCACATATTGTCAATGGGTGTGTTCCTCTCCTGTCAGATACCGCCAGCTATCAGATCCAGGAAATCAGAGCCTCCGTCTACAGCCCAGGGTTAACTGCATTCTAGTTCCAGGTACATTTTGCATTAAAGGTGGGGTAGGTAATTTTGGAGAAACCAGCTCGAGTGCGCTGGGAATTTGAAAATACACAGCCGGAAAAAATCTGCCACTTCCTTACAGAGCCCCTCCTCCAACACACACAAACGCGCACATGACCAATGAGGGCACGAGATAAGTTTGTGCACAGATGGAAGGCTGACAGGCAGGTAGGCCATCCAGTTATTTTAGCCGGGCCGGCTAAAATGATTGGTCATGCTTTTTACAGTACTGCGTCTTCCACAGATGACATTTTCTTATGGATTTTTTGTCAAAGCACTTAAGATATTCATTGCTATCGGGGTGTTAAGAGCATTCCATGGAATATAACAAAAAGTGTATCTCGAGCCGGTTTCTCAAACTTACTTACCCCACCTTTAATGGTTTTATTTGATAACCTGTCCAATTAAAAGTGAATCAACGGGTGGCAACACATTTGTCGAGCGCAAAATGGTTTATGTCTCTTGTCTTAAAAGCTTGCAGGTGCTGGTTTACTTGCTTTTCCTGAGTTTCCTGCTCTCCACCCACATGCACAGAAAATTATGGCATGAGCCTAAATCCGAATTTTATGAAGCAAGAAAAAAGGTGAAATACTTTCAAAAGTTGTAAATATTGACATGTGAGGCCTGGGGAAGATTGATGTTCTTGTCTTCAAGCTTGCCAAAACAAAGAATAATGACTCATTTATTTATTTCTAAATACGGTGACAGCTATTCCATTACATTATTACAACATTACATTACATTACATTGCATTTAGCTGACGCTTTTATCCAAAGCGACTTACAATAAGTGCATTCGACCAAGAAGATACAAACTTGAAGAAAACAGAATCATATAAGTACATCAGGTTTCATAGAGCCAAAACATTTCAAGTGCTACTCAACTGGCTTTAGATAAGCCAGTCCTTAGTTAGTATATAAGTGCTTTGTTAGTAATTGTATTGCTTGAAGTGAAGTCGAAAGAGATTCGTTTTTAGTCTGCGCTGGAAGATGTGTAAGCTTTCTGCTGTCCTGATGTCAATGGGGAGCTCATTCCACCATTTTGGAGCCAGGATAGCAAACCGACGTGTTTTTGCAGATGGGAGCTTGGGTCCCCCTCGCAGTGAGGGTGCAGCGAGCCGTTTGACTGACGCAGAGCGGAGTGCACATGCTGGGGTGTATGGTTTAACCATGTCCTGGATGTAGGAAGGGCCAGATCCATTCACTGCATGGTACGCTAGTACCAGTGTCTTGGAGTGGATTCTAGCAGTTACTGGAAGCCAGTGAAGTGAGCGGAGGAGCGGCGTGGTGTGGGAAAATGTAGGAAGGTTGAAGACCAGACGAGCCGCTGCATTCTGGATGAGCTGCAGAGGTCGGATGGCACATGCAGGTAGACCAGCCAGGAGGGAGTTGCAGTAGTCTAGGCGTGAGATGACGAGAGCCTAGACCAGAAGTTGCATCGCTTTCTGGGTCTGCAGGGGACGTATCCTCCTGATGTTGTAAAGAGTGTATCTGCAGCAGCGGGTTGTAGCAGCGATGTTTGCAGTGAAGGACAGTTTGTTGTCGAGGAGGGTGGAGAAGATAGAAAATAGCTTTTGGGGATTGGAATAGGAAGAATGGATCTTATCTTGAAAGAAAGTGCTTTTTGCCTGAGAGATCGAAGATGAGAAAGAGGAGTGAATCCGTGGTGTCTAGTGGGTTTACAGAGAGGTTAGAAGTGGTGCAGTTCCTTGAGAATATGAGATCAAGGACATTGCCAGCTTCATGAGTTGGTGGGGATGGAGACAGTGAGAAAGCAAAGGCGGTTAAAATAAATGTTAATTAAGATATCTTCTCTGTCTGGAGGTTGAAGTCTCTGAGAGTCTATGAGAGTCTATGAGAAGTACAGTGGGAGGGCCAGTTTCAGGGATATGTCAGAGAAGATTATCTAATTCCTCCAAGAAGTCTCCCAAGGCGCCTGGTGCACGGTAGAGAACAACAATGGTTAATTGTATAGGATGGGTTACAGTAACGGCATGGAATTCAAAGGTGGAAGGAGTGAAGTTAGGTAGTTGGTAGAGGGAAAAGCTCCATTTGGGAGAGAGCAGGAGACCAGTGCCACCTCCTCTGCCAGTGGGTCTGGGTGTATGGGTGATGGAATATGCTGTGGAGAGAGCTGCTGGGGTGGACGTGTTGGATGGAGTAATCCAGGTCTCAGTGAGAGCAAGGAAATCCAGAGACTGCAAGGAAGCGTAGCCAGAAATGAAGTCAGCCTTAGGAACAGCTGACTGGCAGTTCCACAGGCCACCTGTAACTAGATGATGGATTTCAGTGGAGCATGTGGGATAGACGAGAGCAGGCCGGTTATAACGATTTGGAGAAGCACGGGTTCAGTAATAATTGCGAGAGGACACATGAACAGGAATGGAGAATATCATGAGTCTGTATTCTCTATACAGACTCATTGTTTCAACAACACCCTCACCTGTGACAGTGACATACTTAGAAGAGACTATCAACTGTATGAGTTGAAATAGTTTTTGCTCGTGACCAGGGACTTCATTTAGTAACGCTGCAGGAATGTATGTGAAGGATATACATAAACTGCACTCTAAAACCATCACTTCTGCAGTCTCGTTTAAAGGAAATGTGGAAACAGGAAGAATACTAAAAACTAGTGTGTGGCATGTGAAAGCTACGCAGAAGTTGCACGAGGCAATATTATTCTTTACATCCATGTAATCCTTGATCAGCACTTATACCATAAACACTGCTTACCTCACTGTCACTGTCACTGTCACTGTCTGAAGAGCTACTGGAGGAGGAAGAGGAGGAGGAAGATGAAGAGGACGAGCTGGAATCCTGTTGAAAAAAAGGCAGGGAAGTTATTGCTCAACTCTGTGTAAACATTGAACATGATTATTTGTACATTTCTCCGTTGGTAAAAGTGATAAATGAGAATGTAACTGAATGAGTCACTAAAAACACTTGAACACTTGAAGCAGGGCTCTGTTAGCAAGGCGGTTTTTCTTGCAGCAGAAGGGAGGGGCTCTTTAAACACTTAGCAACACATTCAAAACGACAAAGGCGTTTTACCAATAAGACACACAGTTGCACGCACACGCCCATTCTAGCTATGCAAAATGACAGTTGATCTGCATTATAAACAAATGAATCCCCATCCTAGTTCCTCTCCGGTTCGACTGGCTGTTCTGAGGTGCAGTCCAATTTGAACTTTTCTCCTACAGTATGTCAGAAGTCAAAATTAATGTTTTTTGTGTAGCTTACGGATAAGGCAAGGCCCCAAATATGTAATAAGACATAAGGAGAGTATGTTTGTCAGCAGAGTCCTAACAAATTCTGGCCAACTTCCAGCAGTACTTGACAGATATTTTCAAGAAAATACTCAGTGTATTAAACTGAATAATTCCAGGTCTTCCTGGAAAGTATAGGTTGAACATGCAGTCAGTGGTGAAAATGAGCTTTTGAGACACATACTTTCTTCTTCTTCTTCTTCAGCTTCTTCTTTTTCTTGCCGATACCCTCATCCTCGCTGTCCGAGGATGACAGAGAGCTGTCAAGTGAGAACTTCTTGATGTGACAGACAAAAAGGGAGAAAGCAGAGATTTTTAAGGATATTTAGACTAGTGGGAATGGTAACACATAAGCAACGATGCGAGCAATACAGTAACACTTAATCTATTAATGTAACTAATCATTGCAACTGTCAATGCATCATGAACTTATAACTTACTTAGGATAATAAAGCTAATTGAAATTTGATGACAAAGTAATTTCAGTCCATGCATTAATTATTAAAATGATTGTTCTGTTTTTGCAAACACCTCTCCTGCTCACCTGTCCATCTCCTTCTCCTTCGGGGAGTCCAGGTTTACTCTTGGTTCCGTCTACCTTTCCCAGGTCTGCAGGCTCTGGCACCTCAGGGAGCGGCTGCAAACACCCGTGAGCTGCGGGCTCTGGCCACTGCACACCTGCAGCGCCTGCTCCAGCTGGAGCTACACAGTAAAGGGTGACAGGATTAAGGATAAACATCAATTATTTAAATCTCTTGTGTTATTAAGAATCCTAAAAATTCAGCTTGAGCAACCTATTATTTTGAGCATGCTGGCTGCACTTCCTTGTTGTCCAACTTCCTTAAATGGACAGCCAGATTAAACATAGAGGTAGAAATCAAACATAAGGGAATAAATTCATGAAATCCTAACTGCATATTGATTACTTTGTGGTGCCCTTTGCCATCAATCTAGCAAATTGACAACTAATTCAGAAAAAAATCCAATGACACACCCTTCACAGTCCAATGAGAGAAGACTTTTCTTCTGGTGTTTGTTTTTTGTAAATAGGCTAGGTTATATTTGTCATAGAAATACCTTTACAAACCTACAAAACAGTAACACACAGTTTGGATAATTAGCTTTTTTCCTGAAATGATTGTTGTACGTTGTTTTAATAAGGAGACTCTGCATAATGTTTTTAAGCCCACACTCAAACTAGGTAGATAACTAAACAGATATAATAGTAAAACAATAAAAAGACATCAAACCTTTTGGGGGGGTGGACGCCATCTAGGTCCAGACTTCTCCTCTGTCCATTGACCCACCTAAAGACAAGGTGTGTGTAGAGTTCAAGAGTTTTATGGTGGGGAAAACAGTAAAAGTGTCAAGACATGCAGAATCAAAGAGACTCACTTTCACAAGTTTCAAAATAAAACCCTCTTTGAAATAAAATAGGAAATATTACTTAAAAATACATCAATTTGTAACTACATGTTGTGTGCCAACTCCACAGATTTTCTACATAATTGGTGTGCTTTGCTACACAACAACTGACCGATTGTGCGCTTTTATCTCAGACACTATATTTGTACTGTCTGTTTTATTTTGAAAGCCACAACGGTATGCACCCAGTGTTATTGTAGGCTGTTTTAGCTGCAATGGCTGATTTACCTGTACAAACAGGTAATACAGGTGTTGTGCCGTAGGTTGAACTTGGCTTGCCGCAGATTGGAGCCCTGTTCGCGGGGACGCGCAACGGTGACGTCATCTCGCTTATTGAGCGTTCATTCAAAGGAGCAATTAAAGCGAGTGAAGCCAGTTTGAACAAATTATCTTTTAGGCTTGATTGAAAATAACACAGTGTCTGACATTATCGTATTCTATATCATTACAGTTATATCATTGCTTACTATTCGGGGTTATCAAGTATCAGACACTTAAACAACAGAGAAGGTTTTAAGAAATAGGACTATACTGACAAATGACATCTTATCCTTTCATTGTCTGTTCTAGGAAGGAGGAACATAACAGAGTGGGACTACACTTAAAAACAGAAGTTTGTTCCAAAACGAAGATTGTGTCCTTAAAACGAGCCTCCTCGCAATTGTATGCACATTATTTATTCAGCCGTTTGCTGTTTAATCTGATGGGAAAGATATAATTCAAAAGAGAGAAAAAAGCTTAGAAAACGAGGCGAACGCTCAATAAGCGAGATGACGTCACCGTTCCTCTGCGATTACAGGAGAATACCATATTAGCCTGAACAGTTTAACCATAGATGTTTAAAAGCAAAGTGTTACCTTTGGTCTGTGATAATCATAGGCATCGTTTACGCTGGTGACATGTCCCCACCACTTTTTGAAATGGCCAATGTTGTACTCACCACTTTTTCAAAGTATAACTTATACATTTTCTGAAACATAGCGTGCACAAAGAAATGTAATAAACATGAACATTGGTTTAGTGTCAAGATGTGCAATTTGGACATGTTAGTAAACTTTTAATAGAAAGTGTAAAAACGTACATTGCTCCCGCTGTGCAGCAGCAGGGCACTGGCACTGTACTTAAAAACATGTAAACTAAAAAGAATTCCTCCTTACTCAACTCAGACCACCACCAAGGGAGTTGAACCCACGGTCTCACACTGATCTGCATACCAACTTCCTGCATTAACCACATTAAAAAATGTAATATAAAATGTCTTCATATATATTTTTTACAATGTAGTTTTTTTAATTGTTTTATGTATTATATTATTATTATTCATTAATATTTTATTTTCTTATAATACTTTTATGTTATTATTTTAATTATTATCTTCTTCTTCTTATTTAAATTGTTAGTACATTATTTTATTTTATTATATATATATATATTTTTTCTAATGTTACAGTATATTATGAAACGGATTTTGACTTTATAATTATTATTTGATTTCTTATAATTATTTTTATTGTATTGTTGTAATAGTTCATATTTTATTATTTTATTGTATTTTATTATTATTTTAATTAGTAATGTATTATTATTATTATTATTATTTTTAAATGTTACGTCCCCCGGAGGCTCAGCAGGTGAGAAACTAAAGAGGGGCTCCCACATGTGGCAGACCAGGCGTTGGTGTTGCCGGATTTGGCACCCCCACTATAACTTTGTCCAGGGTGGTCTTACTGTCACCAAAATCACACTGGTGTTTGCTGTCCACCTGTAGTTTGTGCACACACAAGCATTTTACTCTGGGCTCAGCAGGTGAGAAACTGAAGAGGGGCTCCCACACGTGGCAGACCAGTAAGTACTGATGTCATTGGCTGAAGGGATAAAGAACATTTGTTTGAACTCATCGCCAGAAGTAACCATCAATCTTTCACATCTGTTCCAGAAAAAACCCAAGGCTACCAGGACGTGTGGAGCCGGGTTGCCTGAATATGTCATTTAGAAAAAACTGGACTTAAGCCTTAACTTAAGTTTCTTTCTTACTTTACCGAACTTCAGTTTTGAGTTTGACATTTTGCCTCTCACATGTTGGGATTTGAACCGCTGACCCCCACATTGGTAGGTATCCATTTACTCCTTGCGCCAAATACAACCAAATGTATTTCATCAAAATGTTACTGGCTGGGCTCATTCGTATATGAGGGTTAGAATGGGGCTTGATTACCTGAATATGTCCTTTAGAAAAACTGAAATTAAGCCTGAATATCTTTTTACCTTTTTCGTTTTTTTACACCACAATTAAAAACATGTTTACAAGAGTTTGCGAGAGCTATTATTTTGAAGGACCTTTGCAAGAGTTCCTCCCCGGCAGCTCAGTGAGGTAAAATAACAAAACAATAGAGCATTCTCGGAGTTGGAAGACCCCCTTGAGCCCCTTGAGCTAAAGTCACACACTATATAGCATTAACATCTTACTTTACATATTGTAAAGTACTGTACTTACCTTACATTATAACATTATCTTAAATTAAAAGCTTTTACCTTCAAGCTTTATAACCTGTTCAATGGTATTTTACCTTTTAAGTACATGTCTGTTACAATGCAAACATGTTCTCTTATGACATTTTAACTATTGTAGACTTTGACCTGAGGAGGAGAGGACTTGTCAGAGGAGATATTGTAAAAACATTTGTTGAAACTCATCACAGGAAGTGACAGTCCAAGGCTACCAGGGCATTTGGAGTGTCCTTTAGAAACAATGGAATTAAGCCTCGGTACCTTTCCAACTTTACCAAATTTCAGGTTTTTTTTCCATTTAAAAAAACCTCCATTCAAACAACAAAATGGTCAACTCGATTGGGACCAGAGATGTAGTGGTCATTGGACGCGGGGGATCGCCGTTCCCCCACTTATTTGGAGCCCCCACTTTTTTGAAGCATGATTTTTTTTTAATAGTCTAATAAATATAAAATCATTGCCAGTGTTATCAGTTGCAAGTGTGTATTTGAACAAAACGAAACAGCTCTATGATGGCAGGCAAACGAAACAGCTCTATAATGGCAGGCAAAACAACGTTACTTGACTTCTTTTCTAAAAAGAATATCATTCACGAGAAGAAAGTTACAACCTGTACAGGTACAACCTGTACAACCTGTACACCTGCCACAAGTGCGCGCGTGCGCACTTGTGGCATTGTTTGGGATGACCTTAAAATAGCGTCCACCCAGTAAAAAAATCCCCACACCACTGATTGGGACATTCCGGTTATGACTTCATCATTTCTGAACAACAGTTCATAACTCGGCTGTGGCTGAGAGGAAGAGCTGTTGTGAGTCAGAAGGTGGTGGGTTCAATCCCAGCCATGCAGTTATCATGTTAATTTAGTGTGTGTTGTGCTGCTTGTTAAATGTGTGCGTTATCTCACGCACAGACACAGAAATTAATAAAATTATAAATGTAAGTGAAAATGAATGTAGAAATACTTTAAAGATATACAATGTGTGTTCTGTTTTATTCTCAACTTTTATTTATTTATTTATACATTCATTCATTTTTTCCCATATTTATGTATGTGTTCTTCTGTTTATGTATTCCTGTATTTGTTGCCACATTTATTTCGTTTTTTTTCTCACATTTATTTATTCTTGTATTTTTTATTCCAGTATTTATTCCTATATTTAGGTCTATGCATTGGTTTTTCAGGCAGGTGCTCGAGGTTCAACACCCAAGGAGGGAGGGACATCTTTTGTCTTCTGCTATGCTGATGTTAAATCTGGAAAAATGGTCCCCACCACTTTTTCTAACAAAGTGACGCCCATGGGATAATAATCTATTAGGGATGAAGGTTGATTCAATTCATATTATAATGCTGTATCACCTCCCAGATGATGTCATGTACATTCAAACCAAAGGGTTAACTCAAATCTTACTTCAATTGTATGTTCCTTTCCAGTTGCCGTAGATAAACAGATGAGTAGGTAAGTTACCCAGAAAGAGTAAAAAGTACGAGCGATTCCGGAAATTGGATTCTATTTTCAAAATAATGACAATGATATGATCATTTTAATTATAAAGAAGACTGAAAAAAGGACAAACACTTCATCAAACACATTTACAATATATCATTTCAAATACACAACTGGCTCATTCGATGTAGGCCTAGTACAAGAGAAACACAATGAACATTGCTGATGAAGTTGAAGATGATTAAGACTATTATTATGAAATGTATGCGGAAGGCAGTGTTTCAATAAGGTGATTAACTTGATAGGCTATATCTGCATCATACACAGTCGAATAAGTTATGGAACTACACCCACTTTCTTAACTATCTTTCTCTCGCCTTAACAAAGCGAGCATATTTAATTAGTTTAACTTAATGCCAAATACTTCTATCATAACATAAAGAGGAAAACGTGACGGTGCTACCTTTTTAACCGACATTCGCGCGTCTCTCTGCTCTTCTGTTATGGGACTTTGCCAAAGAAAACGTGTGTTTTGTGATTATGAATGTTCAGTTCTTTGTCAGTCATTCTGTAATTAGAAAACCAAAGGGGAGCTATGACTGCTATCTACTGTAAATGTTCCTCTGGTCACACTTAAATGACCATGCCGAGCCGAACGACGTCCCCGCCGCTCACAGCGACTCTGCTGGCGGCGCTGTGGCTGAGTTTGGGTCGGTGCGGTGTCCTCGGACCTCCAGGATGTGACAATGGAAAGGTAACTTACACTTCAATAAAGTAAGGTTTGGTGTGTGTCACTCAGTGGGTTTAGGCCTACAAATGCTCTCAAATAATGTCGGCTGATCTGATCTGTATATTTTATAATGTTTAGATCATAGATCAGAACATCTTTTTTAATTTTGTTTATGTTTATCTGTATTATTTGTCTATCTATCTATCTATCTATCTATCTATCTATCTATCTATCTATCTATCTATCT